TTTTCTGTGTTTTGCCCCTCCGAATTGATGATTTTGTACCCCTAAATTGCTTTGGACCCCAATGACCCCAAAATTGTTGTACCCTCCGAATTATTTGCCGCTTCTATAATAGATAACAAAAACCTATCAACTAATAAAATGTGCAAGATGTTATGATAAATAATTTACCAGTTGACTACTATCATATATTTTACAGGAACCGAGATAAAATGTCTCAAAGTTGAAAGTCAGGGGGCCCTTCTATTACATATTTCATGGTATTTGCGGCTATGAATCAGTTTCCTCTTATTGAAGTTTTGAGAAGGGGAATTATTTATTAGCATTCCAGAAAAATATTTTCGGATTTCTGAAAAGATCAGAAATTCAGGAATTTTTTGAATCAAAAAAAATTTATATACCAAAAACAACTAGAAATTTTGTCGATCAAATAGCGCACTGGTTTACACGCCGGTGTGAGAAGCGATAGACCCGAGTTCGATAATAACTATGGCTTTACCTGAGATACTTGATAACAAATGGACTAGCGACCATCGCTATCAGAACGCAGCTCGTTAGTTTTCCCATGTTCTTTCTGTAAACTTTAGAATTTCCACGACCATCTTTAGACAAGAAATAACTGAAATTTGACTGAAATTTCAAGCTTTTGAGGATTATGATACCATAATCAAATAGTTCAATAATTTATGAAAAGATTGAAATCAAATCGTCACTTACACAAAGTAAAGAAACCAATACTAAAACAAATTACGGAACGCGAAAAGAGATCGTCACGATTCACTGAAAACAGGTTTAAAGGAGAGAGAGGACAGGTGCAGAAACAATTTGGAAAAGAAAAACGGAAAGAAAATAGTGAATAGTTTAGGAAGATGGAAAATTTAATTTAAAAATTGAATAGAGATAACAAAAAAAAGGATCTCAAAAAATTGGTAAAATGATAATCGAGAAGAGTGGGCAGCTCTATTTGTTCTTCAACTACTGAGGGTAGTATTGCTGATGACCTTGTGGAGCTCCGGAAACATCACCACCAGGGCCAGATTGATTACGTCGCATTTGACTCTCCACCATTGCTGCTTGATCCATGAGGCCAATCGATCTGAATTTACAAAGTAAGTTGCAGGGAAGGATGTCTCAATTCTTACCGGTAGTATGCTGCCCACTGAGCAGAATAATCTGGTGCGCCAGTCGCCGGATTAACTGCAGGCGCTGGATCAGCCGGTGCCTGTGAAACCATGACTGCTGCAGGTGCTGCATGCGGTTGTGGAATGGCATTTTGATACAAGTTGCCTGGAATTTGCTGTGGCGCGCTGCCACCATTGCGAGGAGCCCATTGTTGTGGTTGTTGAAGACCATATTGTTGTACTTGTGGTTGGTGCTGCATTTGTTGTGGCTGAATGTATCCACTTTGAGCAGCAGCACCTTGATAGCCTCCGCTCTGAGCACCATACATGCTCTGTTGTTGTTGTTGAAGCTGATAACCCCCGCCGGATCCTTGAAGTGGTGGGACTGGGGTGTTTGGTGCGATCTCTCCAACTTTGATTTTGACCAGATGAGAAGCATGATGAACTTGGAAAGGAGTTCCTTTGATTTCAAACACTTTTTCTTCTTCGTTCTTCTGTTCAGCAGCTGGTGCTAAGCCACATGTCGCCCCAGTTTCTCGTTCAATCTGAATTTTTAACAACTTTACTCTGGAATGTGAGTAAAACATGCCTACCTGCTTAATGTTCTCTCCTCCTTTGCCAATAACAAGACCACACTTTCCTGAAGGAACATGCAAATAAAACACTGTTTGACCGGGCATAACGCTGGCAACAGAGCCTGTACCACTTCCAGGAGCTCCATTGTTCTTCATCGCTCTATTGACGATTTCGGTGATTCTTTCCGTTGCTTGGTAAATTTGATCTCGGGTACCCATGATTACAGCAACTCGGTCCTCAGAATTTGGATTAACTGAAACACATTGCGTACGCAAAACAAAAACTGAGTTTAGGGTTAAAAACATACCGTCTGGTTTGAACTGAATCTTGGTTCCAGTTTCCATTGCCAAACGCTTGATCATTTCACCTCCCTTGCCGATAATCATTCCAGCTGATAAGCGTGGAACAATCACTTCTCCCTTTGCTTGAGTATCTTGTCCACCGTATCCTCCATATTGACCTCCTGATGGTTGATTACCGGATCTTTGGTGCATCGGGGTAGTGCCTTGAGTATTGTTCATGATGTTATGAACCAAAGCTTTAGCAGTATCAATCGCAGCCTGAGTTCCAACCATCCGAAGTGGTTTTGGCTGTCCCGTTGCACTGGTTGAATCCTAGAAAAGTTTGTATTTATCACTTTACAGTTACACCAAGGAAATCTCACCTGCACCACGGTACATGTGCGCAATCCTGATTGCTCCTGAACAGTTCGAATTGTTTCTCCCCCTTTGCCAATAACAAGACCGATTTTGTCAGTTGGTATCATCATTTCTTCTGATATTTCTCCCACGACAGCTCCGGATGGTGCGTCGGATTGATTTCTGTTGATCACCTGTAGGAACAATGATAATTTTTGACACTTTTGGCGTTAAACTACCTGTGTAATCATTTGCCTTGCGATTGCAACTTGGTCAGGTAGCCCTTCGATCGTACAGTTGCGAATCCCGTTCATCGACGCATGGTCTGGATCCATTTGAACGCGACATCCAGATGTCTGCTGGATCAACCGAATTTCGCTACCTCCTTTGCCGATAACTGAATTTCAAATTGAAAAAATATTCGAAAATACCAGCAGACTCACCCAAACCAACAACCTTCTCCGGCACAGGATAAATGTCGGTAACCTTACCCGAATCTCCCATTTTCAAATCGGCGACTTCTGATGGCTTCTTAGCCGGTATGAGATCTCCTGCAACTTCGATTTTCATTGAGACGCGGTATAGGGCAAATGGTCAAACGATCTGATAGTAGCGAATTGGTAACACAACTTATCATGGTGAAATATCAATGATAACTTGTTCTATCTTTTTCTTTACACGACATAGTGTTGAGTGGAGTGAATCGAGGCAACAGTATCAAAAATGAACATGAAGTCAAGATGCGCAGACAGTTAAACCAGAGTTAGCGGGCGCGGAAACATGCAAATCGCGCGACGAATTCTCCCGAGGGCATTTTCAGAGCGCGCGCACTTTTCATTGCATTCGACGATTAAAAACGAATTCGCGCGCCATAACCACCACTTACCATCCAAAAAGTCCAATTCCAACGGTCTTTTCAGAATCCCAACACCACCATCGGCACCAACTATCTGGAAATTCCGCATTCAAAAATATCGGGTGGTTTTTTATTAAAGTTAATGAAAATATAACGATACAAGACCTGAATCGTATTGGAATCGACACCGTTCATAACCGAAGAATCAGAAGAAACTATAATTGAGGAAGAAGAAGAGGACAGGAAGATCTGAAATCGATGGTTGAAAACGCGGTTGAAGATTACTCTTAACGGAGATAGGGAAGAGCGTGAGAGGCAAGATAGAGAAGAGTTTTTACAACTTTAAAGAGAACCAACTAGTCGTTCAGCGGCTATTTTTAAGAACATACAACGCGTATTACCTTCGAAATTTTAGAAGCAGAATTTACCTAAATCAGTGAACTTACCTAATTTTTCTCGAATTTCAATTCATGTCAGTAGTCACTTACTAATTTTAGACTCTGTGCATCAGAACTTATTTGTATTAATTTTTCTGCGGTTATGATGTAAGAAAAGCTGGGAAAGTTTTGAAAACTCTGAAAATTAGGTTGTTGGCACTGTGCCAAAATGGATCGATCCCATGTCGGCCATGTGCAATTCTAGGCCAAGCGCCTGCGGACTCCTCTCGGAGAACAGATCCGTATTCACTATCGTTTCTTCTGATTCCTAGTGTAGCCTTCCAAACAAAACAAGATATCCCTTATATCAAATTTATTCGAGAGCAAGAAGCAATACACGATAAAGAGCAGAAAAATTTATAGAAAAAAAAACATCGGAGGGTAAGTTTTGAAAAAGAATGGGAAAGGGCGGGTACAAGGTAAATATAAAAGAAGAACAAGACATGAAAGTTACGTAAGAAGAGCAGGAGTATGATGGTTCCGTTGTTACTGTCACAACCAAGATGTGAGAATATTGAATCCCAATGAACTATCCGGATAAACTAAATGTGAACTAGGGTACCCATAAAAGCTGAATAGTAACATTTTTTGGTATGTATTCGTTTTGACATAATTAAAAGGTTTTTGAGACATTTAAATGATTCAACGAAGAAATTTTAGAGTATTATCAATCAAGCGTATACGCCGTCCTCATATGGTTCCTCTTTCTTTATTTCAGCATCGGCAAAGTACGTAGAATTGTCGAAAAAGTGGGTGTCTGCATCTGACGCACATGCAGCGTGTACAATCTGAAAACAAAATTTTCCATATTTTGGTCAATAACTATTGCGAGACTCACCCTTCCATTGTGGCTGACGGTATCTCTTAATCTCCACATCTCCTCATCATCGTCATAGTACTCATCGAACTTCTCTCCGCATACCGAGCATTCTTTTGTTTTGACACCAGCGGAATCAACTCCGGGAAGTGGAGAACCCTGCTTCTCAGCGTTCTGATCGGATGGTTGCTCAGATGCTCGGGGAGTGAGCCACGTGCTTGTAGACGGATACCATTGACGGTATGGAATAGCAGCAGCAGACGAATTAGAACCATGACGAGCCAAGTTTTGCTTGACATGCCAATCCATATGATCTTGCCATTCTTTTGACTTTCCTTGTGAATCGTCCAACCGCATGCCGCAGATTGTGCACGAATCTGATCTTTTTGTGATCAATGCGTCAACAACCGAATCATATCGAACTTGTAATACTCGAATGTTATAATCAGTGATTGTAGTTGGTGGCGAATTTCTCTTCTCGATACCATTGCCAGTTGGCGTTGGTGGAGTAGCAAGAATTGGCTTCTTTTGCTCTGGTGCTCCCCATCGCGATTGACCACCTGGACCGCGTTGATTTTGACGGCCTCCTCTCTGAAAATGAGCAAAATATATTTTGTATTCAATATGAAAACACTTACGGCTCCATTACTATAATTGTGATTGGATGTTGCTGGAGGTGGTGATACCTGCTGACGTGGTGATGGATTCTTCACTGGTGGTAGTATTCCAGACTTTTGAAGACTTTTGAGATAGGAAAGCCAGTCTTCTTTCTTCTCCGGTTTCTCCGAGGCAATCTCAATCTTTTTCTCTTCTCGCATCTTATGCAAGAAATGAGTGAGATGATATGATGGCTCAGGTTCAATACGGACTTCTGGCGCGCTTCCGGTTAATCTAATCTCATGACGACGTCCGTTGATTGTGGCAACAATTGGTGGACCACCGAATTGTCCTTTGAATGGATGACCTCCAATGTAGAGTTCGCGAGATGGAGCTCCGAACTTGACGATATGAGTTGAACCGAGAATCTCCACTGGAGTGGCCTTGTCAAACTCCAAAGTATGTGCGATTCCGTCAATGAGCAAGTCGCGTTTCGGTCCCGCAAAATAGATTCTGTGTGGAGCACCGCCACGCTCGATGACTGCAGTATCATCAACGAACATAACTTCGTAGGCTTTTCCGTCGACGAAGATACGATTGTTGGCAGGCACATCAAGTTTCGTTTGTTCAGATGAATATACATTTTTCGATTGTTGGGACGATGCCATTTGAACTGGAGGAGCCATTGGTGCAACCTGAGCCATTGTAGCCATTGGAGCTGGATCTTGGGGAGGTGAATGATGATGATATGGGCCTCCATTCATTCCATTAGAAACAATTGTTTGGGGAGTCGATGGCTGAGTAGCCAGACTAAATGGAGGCATTGGATGAGCTGGTTGCGGTGGAAGTGGAATGAAATGAGTGGGTGGGACAGTCGGTGGAACTACTGTTCGGGACACTGCTGGGGCAAACGCATGGGATCCGATAACGGAGGTTGGTCTGAAATTTAAATATCTTGTTTCACATGGAATTGAAAAAACGATCTACTTACGCTAGAGCCTTTGGTCTGAAGTCTTGGTCACGTGCATGTTGCGAAACATTATTTTTGTTGGACAAGTTTATGGATCGAAGATCTTCATCAAGATCTGGCTGTGGATTCTTCTTTCGAATCGGAGCACTCGGATGTTCAGCAGGTATCGACTTCCTCTTGGATCCTGGCGGAGCAGCTGATTTTGAAGATCCGCTGGCCGTAGAGGGAAGAAGTTTATCGCTGAAAAAATACCTAAAGATTGCATTTTATATTCCTTTGTACTTTTTCTGACAACTAAAATTCTATTTTTCACGAATGGCATCACCGTTCTCTACCCAATAAATACATTAGATCGTTTAAAAAAAGCAACCGCTGCTTTTCAGCGTTTCAAACTTACAGAGGATCTTGCTTACGCTCTTTGGGTTCTTTCTTGATCGGCTTCTCCTTGACTGACGACGATGCCTTCTGAAATAACATCACGGTTTTACACCTCTCAGCCCCAATTTCAAACTTTTATTTCTGTACGAAAGCATAAAAATTCCCATCAAAATACTGTTTCGATTGTTTTTTAATTTCAAAGGAATCAAATAACTTCTTTTTTTCCACAACATAACAATAAATTTTATATTGAAAGAAATGTGTCGAACGAAAAGACGAAAAACAGAGTGATACATGAAGAAAATGAATTCACAGGAAGAGAATTTTACCGTTTTCTCAGAGGTTTTCTTCGTCGTCGACGTCGTCTGCTGAGCAGCAATGGCTGAAGCACCAGCAGCTTCGATGAACCTTGGATTCACGAACACACGAGTTGGTGGTGCGACAGGAGCAACAGTGCGAGCAGGCGGGATCGGGGCACCAGAGCTGGTAGGTGCAACTGATGGTCTCGAAGTAGATGGAGCATTAACCATGACTTGCGGATCGGTGCGAAGTGCTCGTCCTGTATTTGGATTCGAAATCGGCCATGCTTGATCCAGTCTGTTGATCTGAAAAAAAAGATCAGTTAGAATCTAAAGCGCCCGCTATCTGTAAAAACCTACCTTCATGTCCAATGCATACAGTTTCGAAGGCATGAATGCTCCAGTAGTTGCCCAGGTGACACGGAGTCTGTATAACGATGAACGAGTTCCCTCTTCGCCCTGAAAGTGAACGGTATAATGAAGAATTATAGACAATTATTTAGATGTATAGAGAATGAAATGTGAAAATTTATATAGAAAGTGTGCAAAGTTTTTTAGAGAAAGTTAATATAATGAAGATTTATAGAGAATAGGATATTGAAATGAAACAGAGTATTAACTAGTGTCACAGATTATATTTTGGAAGATTCTATGAGCTACTTCTACGAGAAACAGGAAACCCGATTCAAGAATGAAATTTACCTGTCGAAAGACGTGCTCAAACATGTTGATGATTTTCCTTGCGAACAGGGCGTGGTAGTCATTTGGTTTTGCAACGTTCTTGAGAATAGAATCACAGACATACATTACAGGCAACTTCTGGGACGGTGCACAAGTAGTCAGATGCGTTTCAATGACATCAACGATTTCCTTGGCTGCCCCTTTGAAGTCGTCGGCCAAGATTGTGAGAAAATTGATTTGAGTTTTGTTGTTATTTTTCAACTCTGCCAACGATTCGCGATAATCTCGCGCGGCTCCTTCGATATCGGCTGGATCCATTGGGATAAGGATAATTAGTCACTTATGATAGATGATAAACAACCCGGATTTTCCGTTTTCACGTGCTGAAAAGAGAGAGTTTGGATAATAGGTCAAGCTTCGAAAACGAGGAAAATCCAAAGAAAGAGAATAAGGCCCGAGAAACAAGCTGGAAATAAAACGAGCCGTTGATACCAGGGTTTCGCAATCCTTCGCAAAGGTTTCAAATATGAGCAAGACGGCAGCGGAACGGAAGCGCGGATGACCTTGAATGCGATTTGCTGACTTTTTTTTGAAAAACAGGGTCCTCTGCGCAGAGAGACTAAGAAAAAACTCGAGAACTATCTTACAAAGTTGCTTTCCATATAGGTTTATTACTGGTTTTTTAGAAAATAGGGACAAAATCATAAAAAAAGGGGGAGATGGGGTAGGAAGAATATCCGTTGATTGAGTGTGACTGCACACCGTCTGGGATTTGTCGAACGCTCTTCTTGGTAGACGTAGTGGCGCTCAACGATCTGCAAAACAAAATGATTGGTAAAAGACAAGGTGAAGCTAGAATTATTGAATACGGGAGATAACCAGGTGTGCAACCAAGTCAATAACCTGTAACATGTAGAAATAACGATGAAAAGACGGAAACTTCCCCTCCGGGAAAAAAAGGTGGAGGAGGGGGGCGCGCTGCAGCAAGACGAGGGAGAGGGAAAGGAGCGCATGCTAGGGCGGAGTCTATCGACTTTTTCGCGGGTCTCGCGACGACTTGCCTCGTGCGTTGTGTTTGAATAGGCGAAAAAACCAGAAAATTAACAGGTGGAATAACAAGCCCAATTTCTAATGGAAAACAGAATTACAATTCCAGGCAGAAAAAAAGAAAGTTAATTATGTTCTCACACAAATTCATGAACTATTAGGCTTTGTTCCGATATGAGCCCAACTAGAATATCTTCTATCGCGCGTAGAGCTTATTAAATGATTTCTTCTGAAAAACAACTAATCTAATCAGATTGCAGATCAATGAATCAATCAAATCATACCGTTTGTGATAAACCAATTCTTATAAATATTCTGTAATCGAATAAAAATAAGCCAATCTGGGTGCGACAACCATTTAGAAAAAGCTCTTTCAGTTTAATTAAGCAATATCGGCTTTTCTTGGCTAGTTTAAGACGAAAACAGTCCGAAAAATGATGCAAAATCAAAACATGGCCTCGCGGAAAGGAACCTCAAAAAATCCGCTCTATAGCAAACAGTTGGCGCCACGTACTTAAAAGACCGAGAAAAATTAATTTTTTTTCGAAAAATTAAATGCTTAATGGAGAAACACAGAAAGTCAGAGAAAAGCCGCGACGCGGAACCGTTACGCGTTCAAATTTGGCACGTTGCCAATTTTCAAATCAAGGTTCCGTTTCACGAGGGCGTGGCAAAAATATGAAGTGCGATTGTGGAACTAACATGCGCAAGATGCGATTTTAACGACCGAAATTCGGCGAAGAATCATGAAACACTTCTCCGCGAGAAGCGAAAGGGAAACGAATGAAAGAAGAACCAGAAAAGACCACGAAGCAGGTTTCGAAAAGATACGCGACAAATGTCTGCGACTCTCGAAAACATATGGTCTATCGTATATTCGTAGTACGCAAGCGCATCATTCTCCGTCAGTTTCTAGTACGCAAGTAAAGTATTCGACGACCGATTTTTGATACGGTATATAAAAAAGAGGAATGTCAAAAAGAGGAAAAAACACAAAAATAAAAACTTCAAAATTTATATCAAAGACAAGAACATTACAAACGACTAATTTAGGTATTATGAATAAACTAGAAAATAAGTTACATTCATGATTTATATTGTAATACTTGTGGAGGTGTGTGTGGAAATTCAGGGGCTCCGTACAATTTCTCAGCGCGATGTAAAAACGCTGACACCATTGTTTTAACGACTTTGTCGAAGAAAAGGTGTGCGATTCGAGAATGGAACGCTGATTCAAATTCGAAAACGAGATCGTAGTGTAGAGTACAAGAGCGTTCCACAGATGGATTTCCCTGAAAAATTTCAGATTTTAAACAGATTCCTGGAGAAAGCAACTTTTCCAAATCTAAATGTGGTATCGAGAGTCTTGAAGAGATTGTCGTTTTCGATGACAACTGACTGAAAATATTTTTTGAGCCATGCAGAAAAATATCCGGCAACTTACATGAACAACTGATGGTTTGATGTAAATAACACGGCTTGTGTATTTTTCCATAAATGGTGGGAATCCGATTTCGAGTGTTGCTATCTCAAATTTCACGGTATTTTGACTCTTCGACTGTGTTTGTAACCTGTGAGCTCTCATGTTCATGTTCTACTGTCGACGATCTACACCATGGCACGAAGTGATGGTATTCGGAGACATCAGATACTACTTTGAACATTTCATCCCGAGAGAACCTAGAAGAGTGTTTGAATTTGATGAATCAGGTCAATTCGAGTAGAGCCCCTCACACATAGAACTATATTTAGATTCCCTCTAATTCTACTCACCCAATCAATCGTTTTTCTGAATACGCCATTTCTTTAGAATTAAAATTTCTCATTTGATGACACACTAGGTTGCGGCCCAGACGTAGTGTTGCCATCTGCACTGTGCAGTTAAATACTGTATTTCCATTTTTAACAGAGGTACTATTTTGGACGTTTCGATGCACACGAATCCAAATTGTATAAATAAATTCCAAGAAAAAAAAGGAAATTTGTACCTATTCATACATGAGAAAAAAAATACAAGATAAATTAACCGCTATAAGAGTATTCGTCATCCAGATCATCTTCAGGATTCAGAAACGTGTCTGCTTCATGAAACTGATCAGTTAATCTGAAAAAAAATAGATTTTGGTTAATAGGATGACTTCAGCGGACCTATCTCCATATATCAGTCGTGCCTTTTCCAATCTCTGGGCTTTCGGTGCGTTCGGTGCAATCACAGAATCCACTTGGAGCATGCATTGACTGTTATGTTCTTCGCCAACTTCACGATGAGCAAGAGATAGGTGGTTTATTTTTCGCTGAAAGCACGAAATACAAGAAGCAAACGAGCAAGTCAATTACTCGAACGGTCATCCATTTCCTGCCACATAACAAACAGGTTAAATCGTCGGCAGTCGCTGTCATTAAGTCTTGATGAGCATATGAAAGATGAAATGCAAGAACCTGTATTCGGTCGAAAGATCGTCCACAACGGCCTGCGAGACAAGTTAATGTTTTCAAATCACACGGATAAGCGTGTCTGAAAACCCCCTAATAGAATGGTTCAAAGTGCGAAACAAACTCTTTTAGTCTTTGTCGAATATGGCCTGTTTCGCATCCAAGCTTCTCATTGTGCCTCACACTTTTCCTTTCATTCTGTTCAGCGTGGAATGTTTTTCTCAATCGTTCAACGTATCCCTTATCATAAACGACTGCTGAGGAGGTGCATTGTGTTGGAAAGTTAGCAGGGACATCATAAGGGCCATCTGAAAGTCTTATAGCATAAATACAAAACCATGAACTATAAAATATACTGGTATATGCGAAAATCTGAGATGTGGAAGAGAAAATTGAGCGGCCGCGGATACAACCGAACTAAATACCGTAATTAACAAATATGTTTACTTTAATATCATTTCCTGGTTTCCGTCCCGTTTTTCGAAGCAATATTAATCGAGAGAAAAATACTGGAAATTTTAGGTTACGGTAGTTGGCCACGCCCACAAGCTTTTCTCTCTCACATCTCCGATTTGTTTTTTGTTTCAGAATAAAAACCAACCGTTTAAAAATTGTGAGTTGCTTATTATTGAAGATGAAGTGGATGGTTTCCATGTAGCTGGTTTCATCTAGTTTCAGAATTTTCCAATTTTGGAGCACATAGAAAATTATGTAATGAATGGAAAACCAATACTATCAACCAGAATTATAAGACAATGGAAGAGATCATTCATTAACAGTTCAGAATAATATGAACAATATCACAATATAAACATAAGATCAATTTTCCATTTGTTCCCCTTCTTCCTCTTCTGTAGACCTTCTTTCCTCTTGACTTCGTGGCGCACTGCTACTGGCAGCATCATCCGCCCCGCCACTTCCCCCATCCGAAGTTGTGGCTGATGAAGACGTGGTTCGCGGAGCGACGACATCTTCAGGAGTTTCTTCTAGCATGTCAGCATCTCCACTGTCTTCCTCATCTTCGTTATCTTCATCAACTTCTTGCGTCGGTGGTTCGATATTTTTGAGAATCTGGGCGAGTTCAGAATGAAGTGAAGAGAGTCCAGATTGAGCGAGAAGTGAATTTTGAAGAACTCCGAATGTAGAACCCTGATGAGACGATCCCACACAAACATGAGATAAGTACTGCATTTGAGCACTCAGTTCATTTTCCACTTGTGTTATTAGCTTTTTGAACGAATTTGCATTGTCATCCATTTTGTTCTGAAATGAAGAAATTTAATTGAAGTCAAGAATGCCTGCACCTACCTTGCTGATTTGTTTTTCCTTTCCAAGATCCTGCATGATTTCTCGTGCGCATTTCATCATATCGTCAATATTTTTTTCAGTAGCCACAATCGCTTGAATGCGATCCGACAGAATGGAATCAACTGGGTTAAGTTCCATTTCTGGAGAAATAAATTGTTGTTCGTTCTCTTTTTTTAAAATTGAAGTATTATTCTGATGTAGAACAGATTCTAATTATTCAAAAGAAAAAAAAACTTCACAGATTTATTGAGCGGAACCAGGAGATAAACAGGACTAGACGAGGATATCGTATATGAATCGGGGGAACATTAGAAAATGCATAACAGGAACATAAGTGAAAGAGCATAAATCACAGTTTGAATTTCGGATGATTTTTTAACGGAGTGGATACTCAAGAAATGGATACATGGTACAATCGGGAAGTCATGAGCATGTTGAGAGTGCACGCAGTTGGGTGCTTGTTCAAGCCTTGAGCCACTATCAAGCTCGGCTTCCATTTCCACACTTTGGAGGGGGCGGTAGCTGTGCTAATGGGAGAAAGTGAAACCTGGAAAGTAAAAATACGTTTGTTCAATCATTATTATGCTGAAAACTGATCAGGAAAATTACCTGTTAAGTGGGTGGAAAGGCACATTCGCAGAAACTGTTGCCGTAGACATCATTCCAGGATACGGAGAACTCGCTTGTGGGAGCGGTGGAGGTGGTGCAGGTGCTGGAGTCATAGAGGGTACGGAAGATGAAGATGGTGGTAACGGAGCTCGTGAAGAAGCAGGAGTCGTCGATGTTTTTGAAGCGATTCGAGGAGGCGGAGGTGGAGCGTCTTCGTTCGATCTAAAATGAATGGTGCTTATCAGACCCATATTTTTAGGTGGAATATCATAAGAGATCGAAAAATCGTTTGAAATAACCTCGAAACTGCAGGCGACTGTTGTCTCATTGAAAACTGTGCAATTGAAGGCGTTGAAGTTGGAACTGGTGGCGGCGGAGCAGCGGGACGAGCCGGTGGAGGAGCTGACGGCCGAGCCATTCTGTTTGTCATCGCAGTTTGTTGAATGTCCTGAAAAACAAGTTTTATTCATTAATTTGTGAAATGAATGGATCACAACACATTTTTTCGGACGAAAAAAAACAAATAAAAAGAAAACATCACTCGATACCTCTGAACTTCCACTCCTTCTAATCATTGTTGGTTTCGCATCGTTTACAGGTCGAATAGGTCTCATCGTTCGGAACTGTTCACGATCACTCTGAAGCTCACAATTTCACACAAAACACAGAAATGCAATGTAATCACAACGTTCATATATTATTAGTTTCTCTCCTACTATAGTTATCACGTTAGCAACAACTATGGCACAATCAGTAATATGGTGGTTCATGGGCAGTAAAATAGCTTTTTTCTATTTTTGGATCGACTCACAGGATAGAAAAAAAGATATCAGCATATTTTTGCTATGTAGTGCTGCGAACCGGCAGCGCGTCTATACCTTATTTTTTCGAATTCTGTTCCAAAAAGATTACTGTAGAAATCTTTCCCTTAAAATACGCTAGCGAAAACGGCTAAACTTTTCAGCTACCTGAGAATCGGAGCAAAAATGTTTTTTACTCCCCATGAATGACACCATAAGAATAGAAAGAAATCAGACAATAATTATTTTAACTAACCGATGGTTTCTGTTGGGCTGGAGGCGGTGGTGGCGGTGTTGGTTTTGAGCTAGGAACAGAAATAGGTGGTGGGGGTGGAGGAGGAGGAGCAGACGAGTGTGAAAAAGAGGAAGACGAGACTATAGATGGTTTCTTGCCTGAAAAAGGGGCTAAATTTGTAATTTATTCAATTAGAAAAGAAAATGTTGAGCACAACAACCGAAAAATGGGTGAGTGAAAACCAAAAAAAACAGAAGTTACCTTCAACGGCTGGAAGAGGAGCAGGGATGGGAGGTGGGACAGGCGGAGCCGTTGATGCGGATGGAGGAGGCCCTGGGTAGGTAAAACCAAGTTAAATGGGAATTTCAAAGTGTTATGAATGAATTTTTTCTGAACGGGGAAACAGAGAAAACACGCATGTTGCCTATCTTTAACTAGCTGCTCGTCCGTTTTTCGAAGGAGTTTACGACCAGGCGGCTCAATTCTAACAAGCTAGCTCGGCCGATTCGCGTATTATATAAGGGAAATCTGATAATATTCTTTGCCGAGTAAGCGAGCAAAATGCGAACAAAAACATCGATGAGATATCGAACGGTTCGGGAGCACACAAAAAAAGTCCACTGATAGTTAATGTAAAACGTATTGAAATGTCATAAACAAGCTTTAGATATCGTTTGGTGCGAGCTGGCGACGAATAAATTTAACCCCACTAGAATGATATATTTTTTTACCCGAACCTCGCCGCACATTATGTTTTAGACCGAATTTAATATGAGGATATCCTCCTTCACAATGTTTTCTTGAAAAGATCAGCTCGACATATTTTTACATTCACATTTAATATTTTTCAATTATGAATGATTATGAAGTTGTCAATTTTAATTTTCATTAAACATATTTTAAATCACATACCTATATTTGTTGTAGCTCGTCTGATTTTATTTTCACTTGGTTTTGAAGGCAATCCGTTTGCGAAAAGACCTCCCAAGCCTCCTGATACTGGAGGTGGCTTCACAGCTGGCCCATTCCCATTTCCAGAAGTTCCGTTTGATGAACCGGCAGCTCCTCCACTTCCAACTACTTTTCCTACTGAAGGTGCAGAACGATCGTTGGTGACGGTCTTTTTCAGTTTCATCCCTTTCTACAATCAACAACCGGTCGAATTTCATTGGTGTCGATTATATTTGTATCATTACAAGCACAACAACAGTTATGCGAAAGTTGTTTGGCAAAAATACAATTTTTCATACCTGAATATCGCCAAGTAGAGCATTACGAGCCGAACTAGCAGGTGGTGGTGCCGCAGAAGAAACTGGTGGCGGCGGTGGAGGTGGAGGTGGCGGCGGAGGTGGTGGAGGCATTCTGGAAAAATATTATTTCAGACCACAACGGTGAGGCAATAGTATGACTCATAAACATTTCAAAACGATAGTGAGTTTGACTTTCTTTGACTTCGGCAAGAAAGTCCTTGCAGTTTGAAGACGACAAGTTCCTTTTCAATAAGAAAAAACAATCGGGAAAATAATCTATCCGGTCTTGACCTCCAAACGTGTTGTTTCTCCCCGAGAAAAGATTTTTTGTTCGCACAGGAACCGCGCCAAGGCACTTGTCGAATGCCTCGTCTCTCTTGTTGACGCATCACTCGTGTGGGCGCTGCTTTGCCGTTTCGTGTGTGCCCCTTGAGACTGTGTAAACTTCAGTGCAGTGCTGAAGGATAGGGGCGCTCCGCAGAGATTGAACTTTCTCTTGTTTTTTAGTGTCTTTCTTTTTGTTTTTACAGCTTTTAATCTGAAATTATTGATTATTATCAAAATCAATAGATGATAAGGGATACTATTTCGTGACTTCAAAATTTTCCTATAACTTGATATAAAGGAATTTTTAAATATCGTTTTAATGTGGCACAGATATACATCGGTGTCTTCAAAGCACCATCATGTTTCTGAACAGACTGTCGGAAAAAGTTAAAAAATGCAAATATATGCAAACACAGTAGTGAAAATATTTTAGTCAAGTCTTCGAATCTCTTCTCAATCTTACAACCCTCTTATATCAAAACGTTGTACCGGTGTGAGCTCTTCCTTTCTTTTTTTAAATTGCATTTTCTGAGCGATTGTTCCCTTTTGAAACATCTCAATTAAATCAATAATTTTTACATATTTGTTTTTAGGTAAAAACTTGCTAACATCACCAGCAAGTAGAAATCAAGATCGAATGGCCGAGAAGCAGCCCATGCTCTCATTCGCAAAAGTAGTGTCCGGGCAGGCCGAAGAGGGCCTGTCTCAATCACAGCAACCTCCACAAAAACAGAGCAACACTTCACCTTCTACACAAAACGAGCAGATCCCAACCGAGAAGCAAGGAAATTCACAGAGCACTAGACGCGATAAAGAAAACTCCAGTGGACGCCAATCTGATAGACCTCGCGGAGAAGGAAAAGGAAAACGACGCAACAATAAAAAAGGTGAACGCAAGCCAAGAGGCGAAGCAAAAACTGAAAAGTCGGTTGAAAAAGTTGTGACAGAAGAAGCGAAGCCTGTCGAGGTCCCGGTTGTTTTAGAGCCAGCTCCACTGCCAGCCATAAATGCTTGGTTCAAAAATAAAGGTGCGTTTTTAAATTTTGTTGAACAGTAATACTTCGAATATGCTTGTCAATGAAAAATGTTGTATTTCTGAAATCAAAATAGTTCCAGAAGAAGCAGCCGCTGCTGCTGATCGAGAAGGCCAGAACGTAGACCCAGCCGCGTTACCGGTGGCTTCTCCGATCCAAAAAGCTCAAAAATCGGTTGCTCCAGTCCCAGAGAAAAAGAAGGCTATAGAATCCGTCCCAGCGATCAAAGAAAAACCAAAGAACAGAGAAGCAAAAAAGGAACCTTGGAAAACATCAGATGCTGGAACAGACTCTTCAAACACAGAAACAGTGACAGTCGCTGCTCCTCAAGAATGGCCATCATTGGCTAAGTCAGAGCTCAACGGCCATGTTTCACCATCTAACTCAGTGAGTTTTTTTTTGTTTTAAAAACTGGAAATAGTCCAATTTCGGCCTAATAATAATATCAATGTCATATTGCCGGAAATACTTCTTGCATACGGACTCATTTCGCATTTTGGAAAATTGCTATTTCTACTCATGTCGGCTGAGAAGCATTTTTATTGGGTTTTGACTTATTTTTTTTTTGATTATTTTCCTGCAATTGTCCCCCAACAAGTCGGAAATTAAAAACTTTTGTTGTGAAAAAGTTGCAAGACGAAAATCGAGAAAAACAAATCCGGAAAACGAAAGTTTCCCAACTAAGGATAGTTTTCGATCTAGGGAAGCAGTATTTCATATATGGGGTTATTCATGAAGCGAAAATATGTATTGAAATGCATTTCGGCGCCCTCGAAATTCAAAGCAGGAACGTCGCGAAATCTATTTCAAAGCATTTCGCGACATAACTGTAAATGCATTTCAATACATCGCGTGGCGGGATATTTTTCTGGAAAAAGGGATGCGCCTTTAAACTTTGTGAAGGATTGAAAAATAAATACATTTTGCGACGTTCCTGCATTGAATTTCGAGGGCGCCGAAATGCATTTCAATACATATTTTCGCTACATGAATAACCCCAATAGTGTTCATTCTCATACACTTTTATCGAAAGTATAAAGTTACCATTCACCACCGGGATTATTCATGACATTAAAATATGTGGTTTTTAAAAACCGATTCATGCAAGCGAAAAATTTACTTTCTGTGTTTCAAAACCAATTCACAAATAACCCCATAATAAAACTATAACTATTTTTCTTCTCATTTCAGGATGATAACAACGAGGGAGGAAGCAGCTCGCAACACAAAACAACTGGAAAGACAACAAAAAATAGTTGGAAGAAGGTTGAGATATCGGTAGATTATGGAAGCAAAGGAAAGGGAGCCTCTCGCGGAAATGGAGAGAAAGGAACCAGACGCACTGCTAACGATGAAACTGGTTAGTAACAACTGCGGAAAAGGAATCGTTAATTTCTGAGTTCAAACATAAACACACCAAAAGTTTTCGTATAAGAAGCTATATTACTCGACAAATTCGAATTTAAACTTGGAGAAGGGGTCAGAAAATCGTTACTGGGTTTTTGTCTGCGGTTTGAAGTGATAGTGTTTAAAGGAACTACTGTAAATTACTGTGGTAATCAGTTTCCATACCGTAGTTTCTGCAAAGGCCACTTCAAAACGCGGACAAACCCCCGACAGCTCTCTTGCCCCGTCCTTTGAATAATCACTATAAAACTTCCCAGAAACACGATTCCTTTTTCTTCCCGTTAAATATAGAAAAAACATGTTTGCTGAAATGAACAGTTTTATACGGACATTTTTTTGCAGCTCGGCGACGATCCGGAGAAGAGGACTCTGCGAGTGGCGATGAGCAGCAATACTGGTGGGTCTCAATCTAGTATTTAGTCGCATGCACCCCTCTTTTAAATCTTCTTGGTGCTCTTCGTCTATTTTCCGTTCTCAAAGCAGCGATCAAAAGACGACGACGTTCTTGACGAAGAGTAAAGCGCTTTCTGCTTCTTTTAGTGTTCTCAAGGAGCAATCTCGATCTCCATTTTCTCTTTCCCCTCCACCGACATCTCCTGTCCAAACTTCCATTATTGCTACAACACCGCATTGTCCGATTTATACGCATAAATTTGCGGCCTCTTCACTTGGTTCCTTTCAGCGCCGAATATTTCTCTTCTCTGCTTTGGCAAAAAATTCGAAACTTTTTCACACCTCCATTCATTGAATAAGAGATAGCCATTGAAGAATCTTTGTTATTTTTTCTGGTTTTTAATCAATGTATCAGCCAGAAAATGTGAACTTCAATATTTTCTGTTGTTTTTTGCTGGTGTTGATGCTTCTTTTCGTGTTGGAAGTAGTATGCTTTTTTGGTGGGGCCTTCTCTCGTCAGAGAAGGCTAGATGCGTTTTAGTTCTTCCAAGCGCATACACCAACCACACAATTATTTTGAGGAGAAGAAGACGAAGGCTCACTCCTTTTACGTTTCTCCGATTTCGCTTACCAGTTCTTACGTTTCCAACTACAGAAGCATTTAATTTCGTTATTATATATACTTTATCAGCATTTGAAATGTATTGTAAGAAGTCTTTATCAGAACGCGCAATTATGATAAGGTTAAAAGACGGTGGATTACATATCAACTCTATATTTTGAGGATTTTTTGCTGCTTGGCGCTTCGAAAATTAAATGTCTTACAGATATACTTTTAAGCTCAATTTTATAAAGTTGTCCCCTAATTATCGTTTAAGTTATTGTCATAAAGAATTCAATATTTTCAGGTCTCGCAACAAAGACAACAAGAGTCCAGTGAACGAGATGTCGAATGATCGGTGAGAATTGAAAAAAAAATCCTATGCGCCATAGTAAGAGACATCGTTATCTGTCAATCTGCCATAGTCAACAGAAATGCAATTTTTCCTCGTGTCGATTCTCTCACCTTTCCTATCTCGCAATGAGGTGGTATTGCATGTTGAATTCACTATTAGTACATTGCCCAATAGGAATTTTAATAATCATGCTGACACGAATCAGTACATCATCGAGTATAAAGACAATACTAGTTTTGCACCCCTCTCGATTTCGGGTAGTGTGATTGTTCTGTGTTGATAGGTGGCTTAGATTAAAAATATTTATCATGTAGTGATCCAAAAAAATTAAAGTTGACCTATTCTATTCTTGAATCCGCTCATAACTTTTCAACGCCCTGAACTTATGTACCATATTAACTGATTATATTCTCTCAACTTTGTATAGAAATTGTGCTATATTGGAAATGTACTTTCTTCATGGCTCTATCATGGATTTTCGTTTTCTCTTCCGAACAGCAGAAGCAGCTGACTGGGTAGGGGCCTCTGGCTACTCCCTCTTCGTCGCCGTCGCCACCAGCACTGCCAGCATCATTTGCGTTGGGTGCGCGCTCACTCCTCTTCCCCTACTCTCACTCAAACACACTCACGCTGTTTCCTCTCCGCTCACCTTGCTGATAGAGTGAGACAGTAGAGAAAGAGGACTATGTTGGCTAGTTGTATTAGAAAAGCAAAGGGAGAGAAAGGGTGAAACGGGGGGCGATTCGCGCTCGGATCCCTGCGTTTCTTCGTCGCTGATGTTGTTTTTCTCCACCCTGACAACACTCCTAACGTTACTCCATTTCTATATGCTGCAGTCGCGGAGGCGACCCTCTCGTCAACTGCGATACTCTTCGCTTTTCTCTGGGTGTCTCATGGTTGTTTTTGGTTGTGTGTTTCCCTTCTGCGCTAGGAGAGGGGTCTGCGCCTAATACTAACCTTCTGTTTCCTAACGTGTTTCCATTTTGTGCTTTCAAAAAAAGATGCCCCTGGATGGTATTCAAAGAAAAACCTTCTATCGCCTTCTACTCTCCTGTTATGAAACTTGGCTGTTTTTCACCTACATACTTGATGTTTCACTCAAACGCCATAACGATAACAGTTCAGCTACGTATTATCAATCCGCGGCTCTATTTCAGGCTTAAGTTCAAAATTAGTTTGCTATGGATTTTCCCAAGATTGCGCAATTGTTTTTTCTTTACCATAGTTCTTCTTTTTTCGTAATTGAACTCCACTGACGACGTCATTTCTTTCTGTCTGTATCCTCTCTTGTCTCCTCTCCTACGCTTAGCTCCTACATAGAAAACTGACGTCATTTCCCCTTTCATCTATTTTCCCATTTTCGTTTGCAGATGCACATGAGAACAGAATAATATGAAACTTAAGTGACGAAATTCGTTCATTTTTCAGGGTCGTGGATTCCGGATCGAATGGGATATACTACCAACAAGGTGGTACTCACGGTTGGAAAAAGAAAGTGAATAATAAGTCTGGATCAGATTTACCTACACCCCCAAACTCGACTTCTCCACAACACAGTGAAGAAAGTTCACCTGAGCACGTATCGAAAGACAAGTCTTCTCTGAATATGAACGGCAACGCTAGAGTAAGTTACTCGAATATATGTATTTTTAGAGGAAAAAAAGATATTTAGAACGCACCGCCAGTCAATCGGACCGGAAATTCTACTGTCGCCCCAAAAACAGGTGATTATTGGCATAAAAATGGTGGTGAGCGCAAGGACGACAAATCTCAACCGAAGGCTTACTATCAACGCAACGATAGATACCAGGCTCGCGCAAATCCTCACGCTCCGCCAAAATTGACCCCTGCTCAGCGAAAGGAACGAGGACCTCTTCCACGCTGGGAAGACATTGAAGCTGGAGAGGACAACTTTGATTACATGACTTTGATGGAGGCTCAGTACTCTCAGTATTATGGTGCTCCGCAGCAATTTGAGCATCAGTTGGATCCACATCAAGCTAGCATCCTCATTCAACAAGCTCAACAACATATGGCTTCGTTCGCTCCGTTCCGTCCACCTATGCCAATGATCTCTCCAAATTTGATGTCTCCTCCAATGGATCGTGATGGGGGTATTCCTTCTCCAATGTCTAATGGAGAGCCCATAAATACATCAATTCCGTTTGCTCCGATTTATCATCCTCCCGCACCACCACGCCCGGTAACTGATGATACCTTGAAGGAATATGTCAGGAAACAAATGTAAGCATTCTAATTTCGACTCTAAAGTTATAATATATATTATTACAGTGAGTACTACTTTTCCGAAGACAACCTGCAGAAAGACTTCTTCCTTCGTCGAAAAATGTCTCCAGAAGGTTATCTTCCGGTGGCTTTGATCGCTTCTTTCCCCAGAGTTCGTGCTCTCACAGAGGACTTTTCTTTGATTGGTGAAGCACTCAAAGATTCTACAAAGGTTGAAGTTTCATCCGACAATGTGCAAATTCGTGCACGCGAGAACCCGACTGCTTGGCCTTTGATGCCTCCTGTCAGTGGAGCAGCTGATTCACTACCAGGACCATCCACCCAGGCACCAAATCAGTTTAAACAGAATGGACCACTGGCACAATCTGCACAGACATCGGTTCCAACAGAACACCAAACACAAAACCAAGCGTCATCGTCACAGACACAACAACCACAACAACAGGAACAGTGGGAAGAAGTGAAATCACGAAAAGGCAAAGGAAAAGGAAGATTGGCTTCAGGATCACAATCTGCGAATGACAGCAAACGCCAATCACAAAAATCGTCACAGCAGAGTGCATCAGACCAACCCGATTTGGATTTTCAATTTGACAATGAGATTTCCCAAACTCCAAAACGAGTTGAAAAATCGAAGAAAACTCTTTTGAGGTTAGTTATGTTTCCGTTGAATCCTGAAAATGAAACTAATTTTTAACATTCGGTTGTTATTAATAATGCTATTTCAGCGCTATGGACTCCGAAGAGATCGGAGATGATGTGATAAGTAAACTGATCATCATGACACCATCAAGACGAACACTGGATCGTACTGGTGACTTTTCCACAAGATCCCAAAATCAAGTTGAATTCAATGAAGAAGTAGAAATTGGTCTTCGAAGATATGAAGAAGAACTTTGGACAGTTCCTCTTGAAAAAGAAGCACCGGTAAGAAAAAATTGAATTAAGTAAACCTTTCAACAAATGTCAGCTTTAACATGTTAACTGTGCCTGTTTCACGATTCCCGTCTAAATATAATTTTCATCGAAGTTGTTTTGTAACCGTGTTGTGAGCACTCCTTTTTCAGACATCCAAGGTTTCCACAATTTCGGCTGAGCAGTTTCATCAGATGCGTGGAGATACTGATTCCAAGCAAAATCCTGAAGAACCCCCAGAAATCCCTCTTCCTACTGGAACTCAACCAACTCCAGATTCGGTGTGGACTAAAAAGGCTAAAGAACGAGCAGCTGCCAGTGTTACTGTGGTACGATTTATTTGATATTGTGAAATCTTAAGTTTTTTCTCATTGCATCTTGTTTGTAAATTCCTTCATTTGAACACAGATGTGGGCTGTTTGACTAATGCGAATCATGAAAAAAGTTATCTAGTGGAACTTTGAATATGAAATTTCAGCCAAAGTCACCGATGCAGCGCCGTGAATCCCAGGAACAGAAGATGAATCGTTTTTATCCAGTTTCCAAGCCAGCAGCTACGTTGGATGCCAAATCACCACGCAAAAAGAAGACTCGTCACAGTGAGAAGCCACCAGTAGAAATGCCAGTCGCCTGGGTTCTTGGACGTGAAGAGGCTTTGCCAGCTGCTCCAATTGGAATTGCTGCGAGCTCATCGCAAGTACCTGCTAATCATCCGTCTGTCAGCCTTCTCCAAGAAGATCGATTTGTACAAAATGTTTATTCAACTTGGCGCTTGTCGTGCCTGAAGCAACGCAAAAGCCTTGGATACGATTGTGCGGAAATGAACACGCTGTACCGTTTCTGGTCTTTCTTCCTGCGAGATAACTTCAATAGAAACATGTATGAGGAATTCCGCAAGTTGGCTCTTGAAGATGCAGAGATAGGGTAGGTGAAGTTCCAATTGTTAGGGTTACCGTTACAGTAAATGACATAATGTATTATTTCAAATTTTGCAGATCCCGTTATGGAATTGAAGCATTGTTCCGATTCTACAGTTACGGCTTGGAAAAGAAGTTCAGACCGGAAATCTACAAAAACTTCATGAAGGATTGCACAACTGATGTGCAGAAAGGAGAACTCTACGGCCTTGAGAAGCTTTTCGCTTTCTTACAGCGGTTTGTTTTTTTTTGATCTCGTGAATCAATTTCAGCAAAGTATTTCAGATCTAAAATCGCCAAACAATTGGTTGTCGATGATTTCTTGACGAACGAGTTGAATAAGTACAAGTCAACAGATGATTTCAGAGTAAGATTACAGAATAAAGGATTCATTCAGTTCGATAAATGAAAATATTTTCAGAATCTTCCATTGTCAACAAAGAAGTAAGATAAGCTCAAACTGTTCGTGTCTCTCCTATCACTTTCTCCTCAGCTCCATCGCCAACACATCACCTCAAGTGTCCTTTTATTGAAGTTTTTGCTCAAACACCGTTCTTCTGTATACCCGTTTCTGCCGTTTTCTTCAACCTGTTGTTCATTTCAAATTTTCATGCCACGGTTACCCGTTGTTCCCGTCCTTTTTCTTTATGGTACCGTCCTTCCATCAATCCAAACACTTGATCTTATGATTTTCATCTCTTTCTTTCTGTTTCTATCGAGTTTGGAAATTCTAACTCACTTTGGTTTTTCATATATTTTTCCACCAGTCTTTTTATGATTTAATCGTTTTTATTATTTGTTACCACCTTTTATTGCTTCCAGTCTTTGCCTCCAAGCTGAAGCTATCTTTTTTTTTCTTGCTCTCAACCCCTCCGTTGTTATTAGTTTAAACAAGACTATTGTTGTTACTCTCCTCCCCAAACATCCCAATTTTGGAGTATCGATTCCAAAAGTTTGGTTTGTATCGATTTGTTCATAATTACAACTGAACTTTTGGAATCGCAGGGCCCTAGTTAACCTTTGCAGATACTAGTTTCATCTTTTAGGTCTTTTTGTTATCTTTTTATTTTTTTTTCTCCTGTCCACCCCCTCGCTCATACATTCTTTCTGAATATTTTAGTTTCATTTCACGAATCTAGGACATTCAGTCTAGAATTTCTAGTAGTTGGTTCTCTATTTTTGTGTTCCAAAAAGCTGAGGAACGTTCTTAAAATTCTCCATTTTTTGTTATATATGACCACTCTCCGACTCTGATGCTTTTGTTCTTCTTTGTTTGCTAACAGCGTTGCCAAGCTTTTAGTACTCGATTCAACTGATGGAGTTCGAGATGATCACCGCATTCCTCCAGTTTATCCCGTTCTAAAAGTCTGACATTTTTCCCGATTTCTCCATTGACGAAGTACTTGTCTCTAATATCATATGGAATTGGTCCGGCAGAAATCAGTTTCACTGAACTCATAATCTCGCCTAATCAATTCCAGCACGTCCCTATCAACTGAACTACCAATTCTCCAATGCTCTCAAGACTTGTGTATTATCAAAAAGGACGGAATAAACATAAAAATTCAACGTCTACTTTCACTTTGAAAAGTTACAAGATGTTAGAGAAGACACATATTTTAATCTAAAAGCTAGGAAGAGGTTTCCCAACAGTCATGAATTCAGATGACGTCACGTTTTGGACGCCTTAAACAAATTTACATGGGATTCATTCCAATCTATCCTTTGGGTTACGTAATTTTACATGGTAATTATCTTGGACATATCTTCATGATTCCTGTTTCTATTAGGTTTCCGTGGGGATCAAATATGGGCAAAACCTTATCTGGACAGAAGTTCCATGGAGCCGAGTGGTCATTTAAAAGAGCTTGTTGAACAGGAAATCGACAAAATGGAAAAGTTGAAAAAAGCAAAAGTATGGCTTTGATGAATAAGAAGAATCTACTGAAATTATATTGTCGGAAAAATCCAAGAGTTTCAGTTTCAAGTGGTTCTCACGGATGAAATGGAGCCAAAAGTATACGGTGCACTGTTCCTGAGTAGTGGAGCTGAGCTACAATTCCCATTGAGAATGACATTGGATGACGTCGAAACGGCGCGACGCATTGGTGCAAATTTAGAAGTTGATTTAGGATTGAGCAAGTGCGTTGTGAGACTAAAAAAATAATTGAAAAAAAGAAATCATTCAGGCATCGGCGAAAAGTTGAAGTAAACAGTGAAACAGGAGATGAGCTCATCGCCCGTCTTATGCTTTCTGATGCTGCTAAACACTTCATTGTACAGAGACAACTTCAAATTGCCAACAGGTATCATTTTCGTATACTGTTTATTCAATAAAACGTGGGCGCGCCACAGGTTGCAAAGCGAC